TTTTGGTGACATTTCAAACTGCTTAAATGCCAAATGCGTGCTCAGCCAGTCCGAGGTGACATTGTCTTGGAACCTCAGAGACTCGTGAATTACAGAACGGAGAACCGATTTGGTTTGCAGTTTCTTCCCAGATACACGGGACCTGGTCAGACAAGCGTGTAATGGCCTCACAAGTGTTCCTCAATAAGACTCTACAGCCAGATCAGCACTTTTTAAATTGGAAGATAAAACACACCAAACCATTAAGCGTAATAGTTTACTCACACGTAGGGGAAGGACATAGTTAATAACAATTTTTCAAAATCTTTCTTCATATTCATGACATTTTCAACACGTAGCCCTTTTCTGTTGCCAAAGTTACTCACTGGCTCAAGTCACTTCCCCTCCCGGGCACTGCCTAAGGGGCCGTTGTCCAAGGCACCGGCCCCCAATACTGCCCCAAAATGGCTGCCATCCTAAGAATAACATGGGTTAAATGCACGGCCTAAATTTCACTCCGAATGGTGCTGTGTACATATGTAACGATTGGCACTGTCAGAATATGTTATGTGCAGCAAACTGGTGCTTTTTGCGTTGAGACTACAAGATAGTTATATTTTGCAACGGTGAACACAAAAGCAACAAATAATGCAGTGCCTGTCCTCTTTGGCCTTTTGTATTGGAGGTCAGAGCCATTCTTCATTAACAGGGTTCTGGTGTATCACTGCTGATCATGTACCATCTTTAGTAAGACACTATATTGACTTGTGGTTCACAGTGGGGTGACACCTATTTGACCTGATATAGCAGCTAGAAAAGTAAATTAAATTTGGTCAAAAACTTGACATCCTGACCAAATACTGCAAAGTTATGCATTTTGGCACCATGACTTGGCTTGTACTGCAAAATCTTAACTGACAGTGCACAATATTTCAAACTCAAAAGTGCTCTCTCAGCATTACTGGTCGAAGTTTGTCACAAGGGAAGTTATGTTCTTGTACTATGTTCGGAGGTTATAAACGGTCTATTATTTTAGCTAGATGAGTTTGTTGTATAGAGATTGATATACACCCACCCACAAGCTGCTGAGTCCATTTCATACTGAAAGGAGAGTCAGCTACCTGAAGGGTGCACATTGCCACAATGCAACTCTACAGTAAAGTTTATGAGGATAATATTTGTCATTCTTTATAAGGTTTCAGAGGCAAATTGGAGGCATCAGGACAGGCTCTAAACATTCACATACTATTCAAACATAAGGTTTACACAGTTAATGCATGAGCCAATAGTAACCATCTAGCAGACATGGAAGAATAGCATTTATGAAGAATAAGCTCAATATTCACTTTTAGCTCTGTTTTGGTCAACTTCTGTGGGAAATATGTGGCTCTTTTTCTGCTAAATGCTAGATGTGAACTTTGTGTGTCTGCTGTTAGAAAACAAGTTGCTTTTGTTTCATGAAATGACACAGATGAGAAAAGTGAAAGTGAACAAAAGTAAGGTTGTGGTCCATTTGACCAAAACAGTGTGCTAGCTGGACCATGAACGATTCATTCCCCACAGTCATTTGATCCCTATAGAAATATTGATTAATGCAGCTTTATGCTTAATTTTTAGGGTAATTTCCAATTCGATTTGATGTCGCACTAAAAACTACAACCTTGAAACACATCAAAGAATTGCACTAAAAGAGCAGTGTGTAGAGTTTAGTGGCATTAAGTGGTTTAGTTGATGAACACTGAATACCCCCCCACACTTATCTTTTATGGCGTGACAGAGAACCTACAGTGGCCTGCGTCTCCATTGACTATTCTTCTTTTATTTAAATAAAAGCAAATTCCCTGATTATTTTTGTATTAACATATCTCAACAGCGTTTTAACACTTGGTATATGATTAGAAGCAAAGTGTGAAAAAGGGAAGTGAAAAAGGGAAGTGAAAACAGATTTAAGGAATAACTGATGAATCATGTGATTTCAAGGTCCACTAAATCTTAGGTTTCCCCTGAAGAAAAATAACATGGCAACTCAAATGAAAACTTCTCCTCATAGCTCCACACAGGTCTGATGTAACCTTCCTCACACTGTGAAATCACAGAAAAGTCATATTTCCATCATGTTTTTACATTGTTTTTTCACCGCATGAGGTTTGACTGGTGCGCATTTTATAGTAACGTGATCCTGTTGTGCTCCCTAGTTACATAACAAGGGTTCATTCAGGTAACAAAAACACACTACCTAATTTCAGGTGATTATACGCTAAAGAAAATTATATTCCATTATTACATTGCATGTCTGGCAATAAATCCCTCTCAATCCGACACAATGGTCTATTACCACCTCTCTTAGTGTCAATATAAACTACACACTACAATATCTATATAAACCATTAGCTAAATGAGGCCACTTTGATTAAAATATCACCCTGGATTGGTAGTTTAAGAGGGAAGAGACTTTGCCTACCCCAGTGTATCCTGCCCTGTCACCGTGCTGCAGCACGGCTCATTACAGCCATACTTTGGCCGGATCCTATCTTCTCTTAACCCTGACATTTATCCTCGTTTTGCAATTTGGGGACGGCATTGAGGTTTAATCAGGCGTGATTTAGAGGACAAGCTGCATGAGGGTCTGTATTGTGGAGTTTGTTAAACTGTCCTCTCTGCTTTCTCTGCCTTTGTGACTTCTCTGAGTGGGTGGATATGAGTGTGATGGAGCAAGAAGCTGCAGTGGCTGCCACGGGCACAGAGAGGCACGGCAGAAACTATCCCTGGGAATAAATAGCCCTGAATATTATATCTGCAGAACAAAACCATGACCTAACTTGTTTCCGCACTAAACCCCAACAAAGTTAAAAGTCTCAGATCAGACAGACATCACTAAGTACACTTGATTTTCAGACAAGTAATTCCTGTGCAAGCACTTACAATTTGGCAAAGTATTCTCCAACATGTCATCATAGCATCTTACCAGCAGACCTCCAGGCCCCCAAACGGCTACAGATGGCTCTCCTAATTGGCAGTTATCAATCAGCCTTAGGGTCATAAATAGCTTTCCTATAAATAGAAATGTGGTTTAAAGACCAGACTCTCTTGCCCTCTTTAGTCAGAATGCAAACAGTAAAGTTGTGTCTGAAAATGTAGGGCAGGAAAACAGCACCAAGAGTTGGAGGCCGGCAAAAACAAACTCTTGTATCCAACATTTCAACAGCAAGAGAGTCTATGCTGTGAGGCTGCATTTTGACCTAGATGCTATGTCCAACATGCTCTCAAAAACATTTCTAACCCGTCAATGTTTATCCATGAATGTCTAGGGACTGGATACCGGACTTGGAGATGGAACCCACTGACTTGTTGCAAAGAAGCAGAGGATGAATGTGAAGTTATGTGGAAGTGTTTAGACCAAAGCTGCATCACCTCCTGAAATTATTAAACAACACACTAAGTGCGGTACCAATTCAACCTAAGGTGGTCAAACTCTTGGTAAACAAGCTTTACCGGCCAGGGCTCCACATTCTTCAAAGACAAATTGTGAAGGCACAAGGGGAGCAATGTGCCATAGCTGATTAAAAGCCTCTGCCATCACAGAGTCAGAGGAGTTCGGGAGGAGTGTCTAGAGTGTGCAGGGGGATACCAGTCGGATTAAGAGTTAGGGAGCGGGGAGGGCCCAAAATCCCTTTCATATCAGCAGCCCTGAAGCTTGCAGAAAGAGAAAAACATGAGCTGGAGGGTTGTAGATCAAAGCAAGATGGAAATCTAGAGAGAAATCCATGCAATCATTTGAAAAAAAAAAATGCTGTAGAGAGACATCACCCTGTTTTCCCTTTCCCTCCAAGCAGCTGAGTCAGTTTATGTGATCTTGCTTGTCTGTGGGAAGAGTGTGCTGCATGCTGCATGATAACTGGAGCACAAAGGATTTCAACCTGCCACAGACACGTGCGCAAAAAACAGCTGCCGTGGTTCCCTTCTATGGGTGAGCTGAGTCCAGGGGCTGCCTGAAAGAGCTCTGCATTTGTGTATCTGGGCGCAGGAGGTGGTTAGCCATGACAGGTCTACAATAAATACAGTTCTGACAGGTTTCCTGCTCCTGTGGATCAAATTCTCCCTGTGCGTCCATGCAGAGCATTAGTTTTCCTTATCGCTCTACTTGCCACAGTTCTCAATTAATAGGAGACAGCAAAGTTATCATTGTGTAGCCTGCGTGTGTGTGTGTTTGTGTGTTAAGGGCAAGGTCAGAGATAGACAGCAGCTGTCAGCTTAAATGATACCTGGAGTGTCTTCATTTGCTTGTTCACCCCTTCACACTCACTCACCCACTATGGCTCCTACAGCTCTCAGTGAGGGGGGAGCAGAGGAATTATTGGGTGTTGGGGCCATCAGGCATGCAGTGCAGCAGTTGGCCCTCGGGGTGCCCTGCAAGGGACACTTGCTCTTTTCTGACCTATCGCATGAGCAAATGTTAAATGAGGGGGAGCAGAAGGGGCTTCTCATTGACATTCCTGTTGGTTTGAATGGAAATGTGGCAACAAAAAAAAGAGACTGCACCCATGGGTGCTGTCCTATAGCCAGGGATGAGTGTGCTGTTCCTGGCAGGCGAGTAAGATGTCGCCCCCGTTGCCAAAGTCCCTCACAGCCAAAATGTAACACATGACTGGAAAAAAACTAAAATGTTAATCTGTTATTCTGTATGTAAGCCAGTGGAAAGAAAGCAGCCAATGATGGCAGCTCCACTGATTTTGATATGACAGTAATTATAGGATTATTTAACAAACAGAAGCCACAATAACAATGATGTCAAATCTCAAACTTGTTAGTCTTGAATGTGGTTTCATCTGGGCATTAGTTCCCACATTTTTAGATCAGCTACTCAGACTTACTTAATAGTAACTTAATTTTATGAGCATGCTTGTATGGCTTCATGTTGGCTTGGCTACATGTTGTTTTTCAAAAAGTATTTAGAGGAAACCATGGCTGCAACCAAACGGACCCAAAGGTCAGGGAAACCAGTGAATGCAATGATCACCCACCTATAGTCGACACCACAGTTCCAACAAAATAAAATGCTCCTGTAAAATCCCATCGTGGCCTCAGAGCGTCAGCCCGGATCCCGGTGGCGATGGCAGCCTCGTACTCCCGCAGGAAGGAGTTGAGCTCCTGCAGGCTGACGTTGAAGGTCTCACTGAAGTTGAGGAGCGTCCCGTGCCAGCGGCCGTGAGCCCGCAGCTCCGAGGGCCTCTCGATGGCCGAGAAGACCGCAGCGCCGCACAGCAGGTACAGTACGATGAGGACGGCGAGCAGCACGAAGCGGCCGTTGTCCTCGTTGAGGTGCAGGGAGCGGCAGCCTTGCAATCGCTGGCCAGACATCATCCAAATTTCAGCACCAAGCGCGCGTCGGACAGCGACAAGCTCCACATCGGAGACGGCATTCACTCGTCTTCAGGTGTCCTCTGGAAGTCACTGCCCTGCACTCTCGCTGCACTTCCATAGGCAACATGTCCTCTACTTAGCCCACCACGTTGTCCCATTGTAGTTGTAAAATGTTTGTATCTGTAACTAGAAGGCAGAAAAACGCTCCACTTGTGGATGAAAGTCTGTTGTTCCACGAAAGAGTTCATCAGAAAAGACGCCGGCGCATTGTTTCGTAATAGGTAAATTTCTATCTTCCTCTTCAGGCAATGCAATTGGTTGTGAAGTGGACTGCAGCTTGAATCCAAAAGGACGCGCCGATCGCTTGTTTGTACAAATGCAAGCAGCAGTAGTATCCTCTCTGTCCCTTGCACCAAAATGTTCCACCACAAAAGAGACCACGGTGAAGCTCGGATTTCTTCAAGTTACAGATGAATGTGCCACAGGAAAAGCCCGTCCCCGCGCTCAGATAAAGTCATCTATCCTCAGGCTGGAGAAGTGTGGAGCTGCAGCTTTCATGTGGCCGTTATAGTTACACATTGCATCCTATCAGCGCACGGTGAGATCACTATTGGCCACAAATCGGAGACTACAGCATGCCACCGCTACTGGAGAAGGAGAGTAGATTAAATGAGACGATTGAGGGTGTGCAGATGGTTCCAAGGAAGGGGTGTCTCCGTATTCCTCAAATAACAGAGGGCTTACATTTCCACTTGAGTGCAGCCTTGTGCCATGCGCACTGAGGATACTCCACTGAAAACTGTTACTCACTTTTTGCACCGTGGGCACAATTGTAGAAACAATACACTCCTGAACAATGCTTCTTCTTAAAAAAGTGTCTAACAGCTTTAACACAGAGCCAAGGAAAATCCTGTATTCACAATCAGAAAATTATAAAAAAGTATACTCCTCATGCAGAAAATTTATTCTGATGGAATTATTTCTTAATGGATCATATGCTATTATAAATGTACACACTTGTAATATTTCTGGTGCAGCTATCAGCATTTTATATATAAGTGGATCAAACTTAATCAAAAATGTATCACATGTAGGGGTTTGTTAATCGATTTCATGATTCATTTCTCATTTAATCAATTACCTGTTGGCCTGGTCAGACAATAAGAGGTGCCTGCAATCCAACAATGGCCTTGTATATAATTTATAGCATCTGCAAATGATAGCAAAGGTACAATTGTATTGATCTCCTAAAAAGCCAATCAAATGATCATCAAAATAGCTGCCCAATTGTTTTTGTTCAACTGCATAACTGAATAATCAACTGACACAATTTTACATTTATTATATTTTTATCTACATTGTAAATATATACCTGTCAAAGAAGTGGATGAATATTTATCTCTAAATTGTAAGCAAAGGCATAGAGTAGAAAATGGATGGAAATCTAAATAGTAATACAGTAAAGAAAATCATAGTTACTATCAATATACCAGAACATAATTGCATATCATAAGCACTTTCATGTGTGTGTCAGTGCCTTTTATTCCAAATCCATTAAGGAAATGGTTGGAGACAGACATGATCTCACCTTATTGTCATTGTTTCACTTGATTAAACCAATAATGACCATCTTTCCATGCCATTAAGACCAAACAAAGGACTTACCGTGGCGGAGAGTTTTGCCTTACAGTCATAGTAGTCAGGATGTGTGCCTGCTCCTCTGCAAACAATAACAAAAAGTGACTTGTTGCATTTCTGCTCACATTTACTGCAGGTCAAGAAATTGTATTGACAGTTTCCAGTACTATAAGGGCATGGTTGAGTGAGTCGAGTGTCTTGTGTGCAATTACCGTTCAGGGGAAAAAACAATAATACACCTTTGATTGTTGGGCACGCAGCAGAGATTCCAACAAATCAATGACAACCTGGAGCTGCTGATCCATGAAAATACAATTAAACATCGACTGGTGCTTTAAAAAGACACTTTATCCAACCCAAATGGAAGCAGTGGTTCTCTGGCACATATAAACTGTCACTATGGAGCCAAAATGGGATGTTTCGCTGATATAAAATACACTTTTAACACATTTATAGAAATGCCTGAACAAATTTGCCTCATACAAAGGAGAGACACAACAAGAGCCCATAGGGTGGTTTTTAACAACATTGCTGAGACAGACAGCAGTTATTTTTTTCTAACAAGAAGACAGTAGCAGGGCTGCACAAAGTGGCAGTATTGATTATGCTTTCTAATTTGGCTAATTGGCTTACACATATGCAAAACAAGGGCAGGCTCAGCAGCACAGTGACATCAGCTGCACAAAGGCTGTCCTTGTCAATACTAATCATTACCTAAAAACGGAAGAAAGCACATAAAGGAGACTGGGGTCTAATACAAGACATCAATGGAGACTTGTCTGCCATTGACAGGAGGCTTATGCATTTGACAAACTGTAGCTTGCGCTGTTGCGTGTTTGAAAATAAGCATTTACACAGGACTTACAGAAAAACACAAAGACAATCACGAGGAAAATACTGATAATAGCATACTGGAAATAAAAGAATCCCTTTTACACTCATTTATATTCTCCACCCACTAATTTTTTCTCAGGGCCGTTGGGGGGCGGCAGACTATCCCAGCATGCACTGTGTTAAAGGCAGGGAATTCATTACAGGCTTTCAGATGCTTATTCATACCTCCGGGCAATTGAGAGTCTCCAGTTCACCTGAATGTGGGATGAAAGCAAAGACTAAAGCCTGGTCCATTTGTTGTCAGGAAATCATATGAATCACTGATGCACTATATACAGCATTTTTAAACATATCACAAATTAGTTTATTCATTAACCTCCACTATTTCATAAGCAATACCAAATACTCACTTTATAATAGCACTTTAACAGTATGTTAAATTCAGCTGTTAAATTCCTTTAACAGCTGTTAAAGGAAAGTTGCATGGTTTATCTTTAAAGAAGATTCAGCTTTGCATGTCTACTTGTCAGAAAACCTATGAGGCTTGTTGGTGCGTTTAAATATTATTTATATTAAATGAGATGTTAAAAGGGGATAAAGGAACAACACCACATGGGAGCTTGCACACAGGTAATGGACACAAAAAGGCAAGGCTTTACCCTTTCCAAAAACTTAATTTCACATGCACAAGGACACAGGTTTGTTAGGTGAAGGACAGATACATTTCAAAATATAAATACCATTTTATTACATTTAATCAAAAAGAGGAACATTCAGGAAATGTTGCTGCAAGATACAAATTGTTGGTTAGAATGACAGAATGGGTTTAAAATATCTACTTAAAATGTCATTCTAAAAGATTGTATTGAAAAAGAAACCAAAACGAAAGTGGGCCGAGGCCAGTCAATGGGGTGGCAGGCTACTGTTAGTGAAACTAGGCTGCTACCATATTCAGCAGGTGCAGTCACAGCAAACCGGTAACTTGTGCATGTGCCCCACTGCTCTTCTGATGAAATGGAGGAAGCTGGTGATGCTGGGGGTCCGGTTAAGGACTGGGTCAATCATTTCTTACATTCCAAAAACTTTGTAGTATTCAGCCCTGAAGTTTCAGACCCCTGATTTTATCAGATCAAATATGTCTGCGCCCACCTCAGTATCTGATGTATCAGTCAATATGAGCCCATCTTCAGTTAGAAGTTGAGCCTGTAGACTACATTTATCTGTTACAGAAATAAAATATAAATGACAATAAGCTACCATATTGACCATGTAATTTAGACTTTTAGATTGTTCTTTTTGAGTAAATTACATTTACAATTTGATGTAGACACATCACCTTCTTGAAGAAACTGCAGAAAATCTAAGTTTCATCACTTTTGGGAACTTTTAAGTTTAATGAGGTAACTTTCTGCAAAATGTATGTAATTTAAGAATCAATGACACAATATCACGTAACTTAGATAACGTAAGTATCTTACCACAAGAAATGCCAATAGAATATATTAATTAATCTGCTGTTTTCAAAGGGAACCTTAAACACAGAAAATGAATTAAAAAAAACTATTCACTTTAGAAAACATTATAGCTTAAACATAGTAAACAAGCATCTTTGAAGGCATATGACTATCAAGACGCCACTGTAATGCTGTGGAGATACAATCTTCACCACCTTTTTAGTTTATTAATGTTACTCTATGTTTGTTGTATCAATTCCCACTGACAAGTTAAGTTACAAGGTAGCTTGTACAAATGATGATATCTTTGTCCGACCAGCCAAAAAAACAACGTGCTATTTTCATTGTGGTTTACAGAGAGAAGCAGCCTGCCTTACCTTTCTGCGGTACAAGTCAACATTGACAAGAAAGGCAGGCGCAGCAGTAACATTAAAGGGCCCATGTCATGCTTTTCCGGTTATTACCCGTCCCCTTGTGTGTTATGAAGGTTTTTATGCATGTAAACGGTCTGCAGAGTCGAAAACCCACAAAGTACACCCTGTAGCAAGTAAACACAGTCTATGCTGCCCCAAAACGCCTCGTTGGATATTTCTCATTTTCCATTGTTTACTTCCTGGGTACTGTGACGTGTGAATACCCAGAGGCACACCCTCTGCCAGCATTTCACGAAACAAAGCTTCACAAACATTTCAGCGATTCATGCCGGATATGTACAGCGTAGGGCACTGAAGAACGATGCTGTTCCTACTTTGTTTGGACCAGCAGGAGATTCGGGTACACAACCTGAAAGTATTCATTGTTGTTTGTGTATTTATGAGGTTTAAGACAGACTGTTTAAATGACTGTTTAAATGGGTAAACGTTTTTCGGGCTACTAAGTTGGGATCGCGGAGAAATGCTCTCTCCGCAGACCCATTCTCACAGCGTTATAAACCTTTTTCTTACTCAATATCAAGCCACACTTATTGTTTTTACTTTGGCTGTGAGTGTTTGTGTGTGCTCAGGATGAGTTTAGCTTGTTCTCGCTGTATCGCCGACCCGGAAGCCTGTCCGCTCCTCGCAGCAGATCGCAGCAACGAGCCTCTCAACGTCCCGACCAATCAGA